AATTGATCATTATAACATTGCCGTGCAGGCAAGAGTATTTATTCTGACAGTGCACGTCCACAAAACTTGGCTTGCCAGTTACGCTAGAAGTTTTTGAAAAGTAAATGAAACATGCTAAATTGATTGTCTCAGTCAAAATAAACCCCTGTCATTGCTGCTGTTTTGAAAGCAAGCTCTAGAGAACCAAGAATAATACATAGAAATTAGATTTCTTGGGGGCTGTATTTCTGGTTATCAGTATAGCAGCAACTACATTTCAGTGAAAACATCTTGATTTTTATTGATCTGTTTATCATGTTTTTTAACACATTCTTTGCATATGGGTATCTCTCGATTTACTGACTCTTGATTTGCACCTTTTTAGTTTAACATGCCTCAAATATATTCTACTTCCTAATTTAAGACAAATGTGTTCTCACTTTAACACACTTTAAACACACACACACATCAATATGCCACATCACGGAGTGTTTGAGACAATATATTGTGAGCTGTGCAGCTTTGCACATGGATGAATAAGACCTCTTGGATGACAGAGACAAATGGGAGCAGTCTCTTTCTCTGAGTTCCTCCATCTCCCTCATCTCACACTTACTAAATAATCCTGCCTTTATTGTCTTGTAAAAAAAGGTTTATATTGTAAAAAATAAAAAAACGTTTACCAATTGTATTAAATATTAACAACCAGTTAGTTCTTTCTAAACTGTTTGTACACCTACAGTACATAAACATCTTGTATTGATAAAAATATACTTGTTTTCATTTGTGAGTACAGCTCTATGGCTGGGAGTAAACCCAGAACACACACTTCTCCACCATGTACATGAATTCTTATGGGAAATTAGTGTTTAATTGATGTGTTTTTGAGTTGAACACCATCTTTCAGGAATACATTTGCCATGTTAATCTGTCAATCTGTTTTTGAAAATTCAATATACAGTACTTGCAACCTTAATATTAAAACTTTGTATAAAAATAAAATGTCAACCAATAATTTAAGCACTGTAAATGAAATATTTGATCTATTCTTTTGGAATACTGGGCTGAGATGAAAAGGGTTCTAAATATATTTATCTAAAAATCGTACAGTAGTGAGAGGCCACTTCAGTGTGTTGAATGATTGGATTGAGACATCTAGGGCACCTCATCTGTAAACATTTGTTGTATGTTGAACACCATGAGTCCAAAATGTGTTGGCCAAGCTTACAGATTTCTGCTGCAACCCAAATTTAACAGACCCCGTTTCTGGGCATTTAGAAGACATCTAGTGCATCTAATCTGTAAACATTTGTTGTACCTGTATGTTGAGTACCGCTAGTAAAACAAATCTGTTTGACAGATAGAAGTTTACTGCTCTGCTGCAATTTGAAAAGAAATGCTAGGACACCCTTTTAGAGGCTTCAGATCTAAAGAGGGATTGACTGTTTGGTAGATCAAAAGCCATACAGTAGTTGCATGGACGTGTGAGTACATGACTCATACGTGTTGAGTCTACATGTTCAGAGATTGCCAAGTCCATCAACTTCCATACCTCATCTGGGCATTAACACTCTACAGGAAAAGAGCAAGGGAGAGTTTACAAAGTAGAAATCATTAAGCCCTTCTAGCACTTTTTGATTTTTAGTTACTAAGTCCAGCATGAAGATTTGTTCTATAGTTCCATCTTGTGAGAAGGGGTACTTTCCCTCTCTTCCCAATTTCCATACCTTTTGAGGAATCATCCTATTTGTTTTGCAAACTATATTAATCTCTAAAATGTGAGTAAAAAATTAGAGTATATAATTTTACAAAAACAGGCAACAAGGGTTTACAAGCATTGGACTGAGAACAGAGATCTGTATATGGAGAGTCATAGAAGAAGAATGGTTCTAGTGTACTTCACACAAACAAATGTTAAAGTCTCAGTTGAAAAATAATCCTGAAAAGAAACCAAAGTTTAGGAATGTTTGGCCTAGCTGATTTTTTTTTTTAGGAGAAATTAAGATAATAAACAGGAGGGAAAATTGACTACAGATTACAATAAAGAAAATGAGTATCTTGAGATATACTGTAGGTGTACTGTCGGGGCAGAGTGGTGGCACTGTGGCTAAAGATCTGTGCATGTGGCTGGAAGGTTGCCAGTTCAAATCCTGCAGCTGGCAGATGAATCCGACTTTGTCGGGCCCCTGAGCAAGGTCCTTAACCCCAACTGCTCCAGCAGTGCTGTATAAATGGTTGACTCTGCGCTCTGACCCCGAGCAGTACTATTACAAATAAAGCACTGTAAAGGGTGAAGCTAAAGGTTTAAAAGAAATAAAGCTGTAAATTGAATATTTTGCACATTTGTGCAATAGAAAATGCCAATAATATGCCCCTATTATAGAAGAACTCCATTAACACTGGGGGGATTTAACTGAATAATATTCTATAGGACTTACTGTATGATGCCTGAATCCTAATAAATTACAGGCACTGATAATGTTTTCCCAGTCATCCTTCAGGAAAAGAGGGACCTCAACTAGGTTATTTGATCTTCCACTTACTGATTGTATAATGGGATCTGCACCCACAGACTGGGGAATTACACATGTAACACTGATTTAAAATATCACAATATTTTAAAAATCAGTGGTTTTAAATCTCTATGTATTTTCCTCCCAAAGTTATTGACAGTTGAAATATTGTGTCTCAGAAATAAGTAGGCGTTTAAATGATAAGTGAAAGTTGTAAAAACAAAGCACAAAGAAACAAAATGCAAGGTGTTTGGCATCTCTAGGTGGTTTTGTTAAGACCCTCTTGAAGTACCAAAAAATCAAAATCAAATGAATATCCAACTTTGAGCTCACAGTGGAACCAGAGCACCCAGAGGAAAACCAGTCAAACACAGGGAGAATATACAAACTCCTCACAGATAACATCCCAGGTCTGTATTTGAGCCTAGGTCTGCAGCACTGTAAGGCATCAATGCTAACCACAGCACCACCATGGCACCCATGACAAGAGAATGTGGGGTTTATTTATTTAGGATATAATGACAGCATACCTCGTACTGATCTAAAAGAAGGGCATATGCACAAGGTTCATTACTGTGGACTCTCAAGAAAATGACTAGGCTGACTGTCATTAAAATACCAGGTTTCTCCATACAGTTTATACAGTACTGTACATATTTTTCCGTCAGTAATTTTACTAAGAAGATGGAGTTGTGCAATAAATGCTGTAATAACCATGTCCTGTAGAATTAACACTCTTCTTTAATACAACTTCAGTGTCTCATTTTGTAAAAGCTTGTATTGCCAGTTGGAGGCTCATGAAAGACATGTGGGCATCTCTGTATTGTGTATCATAGAAAAGAAGAGCCTAGGAGGCAAAACTCAGGCAATTCTGGAGTATGATTCAATGTAAATTATTTTGGAAGAGGTATTACAGTATATGACATATCTATCACACCTGGAACCGATTCACAATTTCTCAAAGCTGTAGATACCAGAGAAGGTGTACATATCTCCTCTGAAATCAATCTGGCAAGTACATAGTTGATGGCAACATTCATATCTGCACCCAAAATATCAAATTCAGCGGTTTTGACAGTGATAGGCCAGATATTAAGCAGCAATTTTGCCAGGAGATTCAACACGTGTGGTTTGAACATCAGAGTAGCATTTCATCTGAAAAAAAAAATGCATTTTTACCTGAAATATTAGTTTTCAAGAATGTTCATCTTCCTGATGTTAGTATACCAATTTAAAAAATATATTTTTGTAATTAACTCACCATTTGTACTATGTCGTAGAGGAGATTGCCCTGTAGTAGTATTTACTACCCCTTCTGCTTACTAAACATGTAAGTATTCTGTTTTGTTAATAAGAATCTTAATATTCTAGTATGTTTAATATGAAATTGATAGTTACATATTTTCCAAGAGAAAATAGAAACAATAATTATGGACATCAGAGGCAAAATCCGGTAAAACAGAAGAGCAGTTTTCATATATATATATAAGAGCTTTCCATATATTGTGAATGTTCTTTTCACACCCTAGTTCGGCTGTGGCAATTTGTGAAATCACAAATGTTATACTATTTGCAAGAATCTGACTGGATTGTTTGATTCAATTCACTCTGTCAGACCCACTCTGTGGGGTATTGTTGTGACCAGAACAGTCCTTCACCCTAACCTTAGTTTTGTATTCCTGAAAAATCAGTCTTTATCGTATCTCTGCCATCTCAGATGAATTACATCAAAAGAGAAAAACCATAAAAAGCAGGAGAACGCTCTCTCTGCTCCGTAAGAATTTATTAACTTTATCATTGTTTCTGCAAACACAAGACACAGCATAAGCACAAAGACAAAAAAATGAAAGGATAACAAAACCTGGAGGAGGAGACAGGGGTTCCAATTCAGGGTTGAACATACTGTTCATATGATCTAAAAAAGAATTACAGCTATCTCAAAGGGTCATAATAAATACATCTTATGGTGGTTCTGGAAAATGTGTCTTTTTTATGTTTCTAATTGTTTTAGTGGCTATAAAAATGTTAACATAATTGTACAATTACAATGGTAACTATCGGTAATCCCCATCTTGACTATCTCCAGTTTCTTTTTTTCTTTTTTTTTTCTCTAAATATAGTTCTTCCTTCTGTTTCACCTAAAGGGTGATTGATAGTTTTTTGTACTGTATGTGGAGATCCAGATACCCTGAAAGTCCCAAAGTTTTAGAATAATGCCATATACTATCACTGGAAATACTGGAGAATATATATAAGCTCTTCCACTCTTCATCACCACTCTGCAGACATACAGTATGTGGACTTTTAGAGATTAGCTCTGATTCTTGGCTAATGTCCAGCTTTTGAGGGTTGTTTATCTGCGGGTAGATCACACTGGTTTACATTTTGTCATACCCCATCAAGCAACTACCACCAGAAGGCAGACACTTTGTCACAAAAATAAAATGAAACTTTTTTTAAATCCCATCTCTTTTGAAACAGTCGTTTTCCTTAACTCACTTATGACAGATTGGGCAGACCTGGTGTCGACTGCTTCTGCCAGCATGAAGGCGGGGCAGCTGTGTTACAGCTCCAGTTTCTCATCAACGAGGTAAGGCTGATGCTCAAGACATTCTAGAAAAACATGTTGAATTTTGCAGACACTTTTCCATTCAGGGTTACTTACTTAATACCCTCACATCTCTCAAAGCAGTAGTTCTGTAAATCTGAAAATGAGGCTAGCAAGTTTACTACCAAGGAAGCCACCAGGATATGTGAAGGACTGTACAGGTATGTGTGGTACTTTCTGTATAAAACTTATATCCTTTTCCACCTGATTAGTCAACCCTTTACTTTGTAAGTATTTATAGCATTCTTCTTCTTTGGTTTGTTTTTGACATACAGTACATTATATGGTGTGTTATTGACATACTGTAAGGTTTCAATAGTTAAAAATGGGGGGAGTCCATTTGTGCCTTTTACTTTCTTTGGTGGCTACAGTAGCAGCCTGTTGATCAAAGGATCTCATACACCCATCTTTTTTAAAGAAGTCAATGTATCAGCTTTATAACTTATTCCAAACTCCCCCAGTTTGTATGAATGAGTCACATCATTTCTTAGTGTCAAATTTTGAAGTTGCCCATTTGGTCAAGACTTTTGAATATTTCAAGCTGGAAGAGATCTTGTTAATCTTCTCTGATTGGATTCCAGGGCAGCAATATCTTTTTTTAATATAAATTGGTGACCAAAATCGTACACAATTACAAATAAGGTCTACAGTACTAGTGCATTTAAAAAGTTTAAAATAAGAATTAGTGCCTTAGCAGTGCTTTATCAAACTTTAAAACATCCCTTTATTTACATTTGATGCTCTAAGCCATATATCCCAACATTTTGTTTGTATTTTTATTGATTCTCCATATCTAGAAGGAGTAAATGATTTGTGAAAAGTGCCTTTCTTTTTCATAAATAACCCATTCAAATTCAATGTTTCACATTTCATACAGTACTTATGATTGAGTTTTTTCTACCTACATACAATACACCACACTTGTTAACATTAAATGTCATCTGCCAGGTGTTTATCCAGTTGTGAATTTTATATAAACCTTTTGAATTTCATTTTATGCCCCTGTGGTGTTTTATAATTCTTCTAATTTACCATCAATAAGCTTGAACTCAATATTAGTTCAAATACACTTTACTTAATCCTTAGCCATTCTTTTGTTGT